CTGTATCCCGTCTGTAACAGCCCACAGTCTGTAACCCGTCTGTAACACCCCACTGTCTGTAACCCCCCTGCTCCGTCTGTAACCCCTCCTATCTGATTGATGTGTTTCAGTTCTGGATGTTGCATTCCGGCCTGATGGGAAAGAGCTGGCAGTTGTCTCTCTCGATGGTCAGATCACTTTCTGGGACCATCAGAACGCAGTACAGACCGGCTCCATTGAGGGGCGCCACGATCTCCAGATGGGCCGCAAGGAGCTAGATAAGATCACAGCCAAGCAGGCAGCCAAGGGGAGGTGAGTGGGGCTCACCGTGTGCTCCATGGTGGGGCAGAGCGAGAACAAAGGGGGGCAGGAGCCCCCTCCTCTCTAAAGGGGGTCTTACTCTTTTGTGTACGGAGAGCCACACAGGGCGGCTGTATGTTCACACTCTCTCGCTGTGTTCTCAGGTCGTTCTCCACCGTGTGTTACTCGGCAGATGGACTGTCAGTACTGGCTGGTGGACACTCCAAATTTGTCTGTATTTACAATGTGAAGGAGCAGCTCCTGGTGAAGAAGTTTGAGATTTCATGTAATCACTCTCTGGATGCAATGGAGGTGAGTATCCTGGGAAACATCAGCATCGATTCTATTTACAATGAAGCAGGTCCCTCAACTAACCCTTGGTTATTCGTACTTGAAATGTCATAACATTCATTCTGTACTGTCTAATTCCACCGCTGCTCATACCCTACTTCCTGAACAAATCCTATTCCATTCTCCCAGTTTCTCTCTGTTACACCTGGTCTGATGCTGCCTTCGTGTCAGCACCTCTCATACATGAGCCAGTTTCCCGATTCGCTTCCTGCTGGAGTACGCAGTACAATCACATTGCTCAGACCTCTGCTCTGACCCTTTCCTCTCCCTCCTGGAGGCATCGAAGGGTTTTCCTTACAGTCACCTTCACTGTCCACCAGGCTCCACATTCAATGATGCAGCCCGCTCCAGTCGATGCAGAATAGAATCTGTCACCACACGGAAAAGAAACTCTGCAGAGTCTGGCTGAGAAAAGCCTGTTAAATACTTTGTGTTCAGGATGTGGACCATGAATGATGGTCACCGTTGATCCTATGTCTGCTGAAATCATTTGAGTACAGTCCCACACACACTGACCCTCACTGGGGTACAGGGTCCCACACACACACTGACCCTCACTGGGGTACGGGGACACACGCACACATACTGACCCTCACTGGGGTACGGGGTCCCACACACACACTGACTCTCACTGGGGGACAGGGTCCCACACACACACACTGACTCTCACTGGGGGACAGGGTCCCACACACACACTGACCCTCACTAGGGTACGGGGTCCCACACACACACACTGACTGTCACTGGGGTACGGGATCCCACACACACACTGACTCTCACTGGGGGACAGGGTCCCACACACACTGACTCTCACTGGGGGACAGGGTCCCACACACACTGACTCTCACTGGGGTACAGGGTCCCCCACACTGACTCTCACTGGGGTACGGGGTCCCCCACACACACTGACCCTCACTGGGGTACGGGGACACACGCACTGACCCTCACTGGGGTATGGGGTCCCCCACACTGACTCTCACTGGGGTACGGGGTCCCCCACACA